GATGATATCCATGTAGGTATAATTTATATAGGATTATGTGTTAGACTGCATTAGTATATATTATGTAAAAAATGCAATATGAAAGCATCACATTGACCCCCACCAACAAAGAATAACAAATAATACTTGCACATTGGAAGCAAGCAGCAGCAGCAGAAAAAAAGGCTAACAGCCAAAACACACACACACACAGGCCACAAGCCATACATGCAGCATTATACATTATATAACACAGGTAACTCACAATATGGAAGCAGAGACAGTGTAAACTTACTGGATGAAGTTTGATTGGAGTTAAACTCAACAGGATGGAAACATTAGCTTTGGGTTTGAAGTAGGCCTAAAGCAGCTGATAGTATGGGAGTCAGGGGCAACAGCTGAGAGAGCCAAACACAATAATGTCCTCCACAGAGTCCTTCTGAAGCCACGTTAGACTGTTTATAGGAGCTTAATGAGAGTTACAGTGGGCAGGGTGCTGCTGGTTCAAACGGACCGCCGCTGCACAACGGGCCGTTAATTACGTGCTGCAGTGCGTGAGGAATGTCACGTGACGGTGTGTGTGGCAGCGCACTTGAGTTATACCTCAGTGGTTCCCAACCTGCGGGTCGGGACCCCAACTAGGGTTCGCCAAAGCTTTTGCGAGGCCTTCTTCGTTTTAAGGCTGCTAGAAAACGTATATAGACAGTAGTGCTATGTCTCAGCATCTGGTTCACTTGAACAAATTGTTATGGAAACTGTCTAATAGAACAAAGGCCAAGTGTCAGGGAGAAGAAAACAAAAAACAACAAGAAAAATAAAATTAAGTTGAAAGAAAAAACATAATACAGCCAGAGAATTGTTTAAAAACGTTCCTAAATTAAAAATAATCTGCTCAAAATTCATCCAAATCAGTCGTTTTACACAAACTTCTTGCAGTTACAGAGTTCACTATTTGGGTTAATTGTACAGTTTGAAATATATAATATGAAATACTCATAAAATGTCATCAGGCAGGGGTTGTCACTTTACTAAATGATAGAAAAGGGGTCCCTTAAGGAAAAAGGTTGGGAACCACTGGCCTACCTGAACTATCTGTAGTTCACTTTATTTAAAGGGAAATTCACAATAAATCACTTTACCTGTTAACAGAACATACCGTAGCATGTGCCTTGCATGTCTGTAATGTCACAAATGTGACCAGTCGTGTTTTTCTGAAATGTCAGACTACAATCTTGGTTGACATGTTTGTGTAACGAGAACTGATCATTGTTTATAGACTTCAAAATCCAACAAGACCCCATTTTTTCTTCATTCAGGTTTTTCAGGTTTAGGTGGGCAGTTTGTTTGCTGAACTAAAAAAGTTTATTATAGTTTATTAGTTTGTAGTTTATTGACCTTTCAGCATTATCACAGGTTCATAAAGACAATTGTCATTAAAAACACTGAATTATTTAGCTGTTACAATAAAATGTCAGTACTAAGTACACAATTGAAGAACTAAAGAAAAGAAAAAAATTTCATTATCAATTCATTATAATTCAATATGTATACTGTAACCACTAAATTGTTAATTACATTGTTTAAACAACATTTCCCACAATTAGCCTATACTATGATCAACTGATCGCCACTGACTATTTTAATAAGTAATATGATCACAAAACTAATTATGCCTTTTGTTACATTTTCATAAATTCGGAAAATTGTATTTCAGTAAATACATTTTTTACTGATTGGTCGTATTACAATCACAATTCCTACTCCACATTCAATCTCATTAGATTAGATCATGAAATATAGATAGGTTCTAAAAAAATAATGTTACATTTTAACATCCTCAATCAGATGTGAACTACCTACATTATCTACATTACTCACCAAGTAATTAATATTGTACATCATTGAATTAAATTATAAGTATTGCAGAAAAGTGTCCCACTTGAAAACACTGTCCCAGTTTTGAACCTTCAACACCTTCAGTAAACATGGTGTGTTCAGTGTTCAGACCTTTATGTTTATGGGTCCAGTTTATTTGCTGGTTCACTCTCCCTGAACACATGCCAACCAGTCTCCCTTTGACTTTCAACATATCCACAATGATGAAATAAAAGTGAATGTTCATTGACCAATATTGGCATGGCAACATTTTGGAATTAGTTCCATTTAAGTCAAATGGCATTTCCTTTTGTTTGACATTGTGATGCAAACTTCTTCATTGACTTGGAAGACCATAATGCAATGCCAATACAAGCCATTTTGGCTTGTGCCATATGGAACAAAATGATCAATGGATATGTATAAACTCCAATTCCTACACAAATATGATAATCACATCAATAATGCAAAGCATACTCAGCTCAGTTATAATGTATTATAAGAGATGTGTAGGTAATTTTGTTAACAAGCAGTTTTACTTTGAGTATATGTTAATGGTAATTTTGAATGCAGGACTTTTACTTGTAATGGAGTATTTTAACACTTTGGTATTTCTACTTTTACTTAAGTAAAAGATCTGGGTGGTGATTTATTCATGACCTAAGACAACGCTGCAGTGGATGGGATTTTACTTTACACTGTCATATAACATGAAGTATTGTGGTGTCTTGGAGAGTGGAAAGCTGTTCAGCATGTACCAGAGTAACAGGTTTGTGGATTAGTCCCTGTGTCTGACATTTTTTTATTGTTCTCACTAGGTTGGTATTTTGGTATTTTGTTGTGCAGTGTAGATTTGGTGACCCACCTTCAAATGTGAGTGCAAAGATGATTTATTGCTGTGCTGATGCTCTGGCCTGATAAACTAAAAAGCACACTGTTGAACTAGAAAACCTTGACACACTGAGTTCTTCTGAGAGACAGTATTGTGGTTCTTCCATCCTTGTTAAATTCATAAGCTTTTATAGAGAGATGTCAGCATATTGTTTGTAGTAGAAAGAACCAGTGACAAACTGTTATAGATGATTTGTACAGTGACAATGCTGACAATAAGGTCACCTGTTTGATTTAAAAGCTATTCACTTATTACCTGCACACTATGTTTCCATGTTCGAATCAGGGGATTTTTGGCCCAGTGCTTCTGTATGAGATCAAGGGTAAATGTGCTGAAAGTCCAAGTCAAGTTGCAATATCATCAGGCGATGTCATTAACCCAAACCTCCAAAGGTAAGTTTGCCACAGTCTGCATATCAGTGTTGAAATCGCACAACCTTAAGCCAAATCTGGAGAAAGTATCGTTATGTAGTGTGCATGTTTGTGCACATGTATGTGTGTGTTTGCCTGCAGACAAGTTGCCTGTATCTAGGTGAAGGTTCAGTATAGGTGGTGCCAAAAACTCTACCTGTTTGGCTTTTTGCCAGATGAAGAAATCGTTCCTTCCTTGATAGACTGATGAAGCAGTCATTACAAAAGTATTTCAAAATGTTGGCAAGAGCTAATGATTGTGCAAAAAGGTGCCACATTGTATGCTATTCCCATACAAGTAATGTAAAACTGACTTTATCTCTTGTCTATTTCTGAAAAACTGGAAAAACCTGTGTGGCTTCATAATGAGATTACTAAAACAAGAATGCAAAACATACAAACAAGCATTCCAATAGTTTTAAAATGTGTAGACAAATATCCGTTAAGTGTCCAATACTGAATTTCATTAGATGATCTGATAACAGTAGTCATGTCGCCCTTCTTAAGTGCTGTGTTGGTTGAAACTGCATTTGAATGTCTATATTTGTTCATGCTTGACCTCCAAATCCTGTCCAAACCATTAAGCCACAGTAGTTCCAGTTTGCCACCTCTTTTTTCTCCACAGATTTTATATAAAACTCTAGAGGGACTTGTATTAGAACTGAGCTGTCAAACCTTTCAGCTGTCAAATGTGTCTTTCCTCTGTTTAAGCATATTATACATTGTTAAAGATTAAAGTACCAAACAGTAAATAAAGAAATCAAAAATAGCTCTATCTTGACCAGGTACAACATCACACTACACATGAATGCATCTGTTATAATTAATGCATTAATATATAACACTGACAGGGTCCTTTTTCCTATAAGTACTTGATACTTAGTGCATGCATTATAATGTTTATGCACTGTGTGTCTGTGCTTTGAATACAGGACTTTTACTTGTAATGAAGTACTCTAACACAAGTTAGGAATGGGAATACTTCTTACACCACTGCTGAAGTGAAATAGAATTAATTTTACAGACTGAATTAGAGCTGAAATGATTAGTTTAACTAGTTTGACAATTGATTAGTTATTAATTAGAATTAATATTCAATGGTTACAGCTTCTAAAACGTGAATATTTTCTGTATTTCTCTGTCTTTTATGATTAATTACAGAAAAACTTTCATGACTGTTAAACAAACAAAACAAGCAATTATTTTATGTCACACTGGGTTTTGTGAAATTGTGATTGGTGAGTTTCACCACTGTCAAACATTTTACAGGCTAAACCAGTGGTTCCCAACCTGGGGGTCGCCAAAGCTTCACAGGAGGCCTTCTTGGTGAAAGAAAAACTTATAACATAAAAAATATACACAGAAGTCCTATATCTCAGCATTTGGTTCACTTATGTGAAGAAGTACATATAAAGTAAAGTGAATTCTGCAATAGAACAAGGGCCAAGCGCCAGGGACAAGAAAACTTAGGTCAAAAAGATGCCTTGATACATTGGTGCATAAGAATTGCAATCAAGTGTAGAAAAATATAAATAAAGATAAAACGATTAAAAAGAGAGACAATAAAAAGCAGCCACTATATACAAATATAAAGCTTGAGAGAATATGCACAACATGAAATGACTGATTTCACTATTTGGGTTCATTGTACAGTTTTGAATATAATGTAAAAGATGCATAAAATATGTCACTCAGTTAATTTGTGCTGACATTGAAGGGGACTCAGCTGAATCAATCTGAACTCAATTTCGAACAATGACAGAGAACAAAGAAACCCGGCGGCGTTAGGACCTGGAGGTCACCTTCCTGAGGAAGAGGGCGTAGGCTCGGTCAGCCGGTGAAAAAGGAAGGTGCCGCGACTGCAGAGGAGCTGCTCGCGCACAACGGCGAGGTCCTGACAGCAGCGCGAGCGATGCGAGTCAAGGGTTGCGAGAAAACAGACTAAACAGAAAAAACACCCCGGCCGAGTATCGTCTTGTTCCAGCAGCGTGAACAGAAACCCAGCGAGCATGTCGGTGCTAGCACTGCAAGAGTACGAATTCGAGAGACAGTTCAACGAGGACGAGGCCATCCGATGGATGCAGGAGAACTGGTAAGGCTACGCTGCCATGTAACGTTAGCGCCTCGTCTTTTAATCCCACATTACAGTAGACCGTTTTCACCGTTTTCACCGCACACTGAGCGCCCGGTCCGCGTGCTAAATGTCCTTCCGAGGCTGCAACGGCGCACATGCATCAGCCCCGCTCACCGGGATTAAAAGCTGCCCCTATCCTATTATATCAGACTGTCTGTCATCATCCGCAAATTGCTGCCCGCGCTTCACAAAATGAACGAATTCACGCAGGCCTTCAGCCGCGTGCGACTGCGGTGCCCCCTCCCCGCCACACTTTACCGCGCACACATCCCGCTGCTGCGTTAGGCATCTGTTAACGGGCACAATTTGTCCTTGGTTTCCTGTGATTTATTCTCCCGGCATCAGTTACCGCGATACTGTTGTAAAGGTCGTCCGTGGCTCCAGCTGCATCACCCGTTAAACACAGTCACCGGCCCGGTAGCGTATTGAACCGAGGCTGGCCCGAGGCTGGTTCACTGGAGCCCATGGGTTTCTCCTTTTTTTTAAAAAAACAAAATGAGGTGGTCTTACTGTTATTTCAGTCAAAGTAAGCTACTGTACGAGCATTGTGAAAGACTATAGATATCAGGATGATAATGCAACATCTATTAAGAGTGATTTATGTTATTAATGTGTTGGTAATCAGCGTTGGTTCTTTTTTAATGAATGAGTTAGACTATAAAATAATCAGGGAAAATCAGTGAAGTGGCCATCACAAGCCTCCAGGGTCAAAGGTGACATCTCCAAACAGCTCCTTTTGCCCCACCAACAGCCCAAACCCCAACATCTTCTATTTCTAACGACAGAGAAGTAGCAAATCCACACATTAGAGACACACGAATCCCAGACTGTTGGACGTTTTCCCTTAAGAAATGATGAAATGATGAAGCAATCATCAAAATAGTCTTTTTCATTTTCTATCAGAGTACTACTCATCATTTCCTCTCTAAAGATGATGGAGGTTTTTTTTGGCCAGAGAAGCGACTGAGAACACTGTTTAACTCGCAACTGATTAATTACCAAACACGCCACCGAGCCACTTGCAGCGTATGTCATGAAACCTCCATGGGACGACGGCGACTGTGAACTGGAGGTGAAAATGAATTCAATGTGTCACTGTTTGCCGAGGGCTGCGTCTGCGGAGCTTCACACAAACTGCCCCACAGCCCTCGACTGATATCCCACTGTCTAGGGCTGGGGTTAAATAAATATTGCTTTGTGATTGTGTGCATGGATGCATTTGTAGGTCACGTGCAGGTCCAGTCCAACCGCCCATCGCGTGAACCGAGGGGTCGTTACTGCCCAGGTCCGTGCCAGGTTGAGCGAGCAGGGCTTCTGAGCGAAACAGAATGAGTCATGCGAAAAGTTTGCATAGGCTTCATTAGGCATTCAGTGGTTAAAAAAGCAGCGCGCGGTGAGCAGGAGGCGTTCATCTCGCTTCTTCTGTCATCTGTTTGAACCGCCCGTAGAAAAGAGACACACTTAGCATCTTATTTTTAACCCAAGTTTGTCTTAGAACAGGTTTTTCTTATTCATCTAAATAAAATCTGTGTGTGTGTGTGTGTGTGAGAGAGGGAGAGAGGGAGGGAGAGGGGGACACGACATGGGGGGGCAATGTGTAGGAGCTGTCCTTACCCTGGTACTGACAACTGGCCAATAACGTTCATCTTCTGATGTCTGCTGACAGCGTGTTAGCCAATCACGTTGCAGCTGATCTGAGCTGACTTCTCTCTGCTGCTCCTGTAGTGGAGGATGTCAGACCGGGCCAGTGCACATGGCTGGTAGAGGCAACAGCGGCAGAACGTGGGATTTGATAGGTTGTTTATTGCGTTTGTGATGTTCAGGGAGCTACTGACTGAGTGTGGCATGTTTTTCTGACTTCAGGGTGAGGCAGAGAACGAGAAGAAACAAGTAGGAATAAACTAGCTGGAAGGCGAGAGCCGCGCAAAATAGAAACGAGCGAAGCTGTAGTTTGTGGTTCGATCAGTAGGACATTTGGAAAACAACTGCAGTGCTTTTTCACCATGCAGTGACTTTAAGCACGGACTCGTACACCACGCCTTTTATTTATGTATGTATCCTGGGCAAAGACCCCCTCAGCAAAGCTCTACTACGGTCTGACATGAACACTAACTGTGCCAGTGCCAATTCAGTTAGTTTTTGGCTGACAGCTGGTCATTTAGCAGCACAGGGTTGGGTGTGAAGATTTCATTGTTAATGATTCTGTTTATAAATTCCAGTCTGGGGCCATATTATTCCAATAAAAAAAGGGACTACACAAAAAAAAAAAAACTATTTTCTGGATGTCACAAAATATGTTGCCATTTTGTAATAAGTAGCATTGGTATCGATAAAATTGTATCAGTTCCCGCCGAAGGTCAGGAGGTCCAAACTGCCGCTGCGCTGCACAGCCCAATGGGTGATGTCATAGCAGGTGTTTACCGCTGATGGAAAACGCCTGCAGTGACATTACCGATTGAGGCGAGACCTGAATTGCAACATTCTCTTTAAGTCTGAAGCAATAACTCTGCGTTCACTCTTGAAAGTGAACAATTATTGCGTTTTCCCCCTGGGCACATTCCCTGAAACCTGACTTGAGAGATGAACCAGATATAAAAGCTGCTGTCGGATTCATCTGTTAAAACCCATGCATGGTTTTAAAACATTCGTCTGTCACTATGGAGGGAGAGTTGACCGCCAAAGATGGAGGACGCGTGTTGATAAAAGACGACCAAGAAAACTATTCAAACCTCAAAGGTAAGACAGATTTGTGTTACATTTAAGTCTGTCCAGGACTTTTTAAAGTCTGAAGTCATTCTTAGCTTTTACATTTCCTGCTGTAGTTGTTTCAAGTTGGTCATGAAAGTTGTAAAAAAGTGTGAGATGCATTACTTGTGCTCTTAAAAGCACGTGTGCATCACAGAGGAGCAGTTACAGTGAACCAACGTGGAGTCAGATCAGATTCACTAGACTGTTTGTATTTGCTGACTCATGATGTTGTAGTGAGTACTGATTTCTGTTGGACTGTTTGGACTCTGATTGTCTTACAGCTCATTACAGTATTTGCAGTGTGCCTGTTGTACATGCTTATCTCCCAGTGTTGATGGTGAAACAATACCTTGTTCAGCTGCGGTTTAGCACTACTACCAGTGGTCATTGCCCAGTGGGGTATTACTACTACTACTATTACTACTATTACTACTCTTAGCAAGGTCCAAATGATATTGTTACATTTCTTTAATCTTTCATTATCACTGTCAGAGGAAGAATATTTTTGCTCAGGATTGTCTTTCATGACAACAGGTCAGAAATCCTTTCACTTTGTTTGGCAGATGTTCTCATCTCATTAAGTTAGTTGATAAATCCAGTTCATTTACTATTCTTAGTGCAGCCTGAGCTGCTTTCACTTCCCATCACTTCTTGAGGTGATACTTGCCAAGTGATAGGTTTGTTTTTGAAAGCACTTTTCTGTACAGACTAGGTCCTTAGCTAAAGTAATGCATGTGTTTCAAAACAGAGACATTGAGGCATCTATGCACACTGTAAATATGCTGTGCTTACATCGTCATTGTTTTGCAGGGATGGATGGAGACTGGTACACTGATCTGATGTGCTCTCTCGAGACTGGCAGCAGACAGCTCAGTATTGTGAAGCAAGGACAATTAAACAACTAGTTGAAAGAAGCAGAGGAAGCAGAGGACACGGACCTAGATGCTGCTGTTTTGCAACAACATGAGCATCATCCTCTTTCTCTCGCATAATGAACCATAAAAAATTACCATGAACACATGAGATCGTGTAGGAACAGGAAAATATATTGGCTATGCCGTTTAAAGACATACATGTAGAGCATACCATTACATTTCCAAAGCACAAACTTAAGGCTCATGAAATGTTGGACACCCAACTCAAAGTAATCGATCTTTGTAATAAAATAAAACCTCAGAAGAAATGACACAGTAGTTTTTGCATACAAAATTAGAAATGTGGGAAAAAAAATCTTTCCTCTACATCAAATATTGCTGTCGTCAATTCTCTCCTGTTATTTCAGTGGTGTCAGCAGCATCACATAGCGCCTGGGAATCTGAGAATCAAAGTGCAAAGTGAAGTCAGGTACATTTCTGAACCTGGCTTGTGAGCTGTTAGCGTGCTCTGTTCACTAGAATCCTGCAACTTTAGGACTGATCAAGAAAATACTAGCCCTGCTACAGATAAAATAGGGTGGGGTGAAAGACTAAAATAGCTTGCTTTGCTACTTAGTATTCCAATTTTAGCATTATATAACAGTGGAAAGTTTTGCTTTACATATGACAGAAACTGTAGTGCCACCCCACTTTTCTTTTTGTTTTTTCCGTCATTTCCAAGTATATTTTTACATTTTTCTTCTTATTTGCATTTTGTCTTATTCCCTAAGTTTAGTATGTTGAATTCACTTAAAAACGGGCTTCACATTCACTTTTTTACACAAACGTGATCCAAAATCCACTGATTGAAGTTAGCTTACACCCATTTTCAGTTCCAATCCACTGTATTGCATGCATTTAGTTATAGCCTGTAACTGTTATAGGCATTGTGCTATATTAGTATGTTATGAATTTCCAAAGTGGGTGATAAGATTTTCCATAAAATACTATTATTTGACATATGTGCTTTCACCTTTTTTTGTGTGTTTAATTAAACATCTAACATGTTAACTTTGGTGTATATGTCATTTCATTTCACATTGTTCAAATATGTATAAAAAGTCATATGAAGATATTTGGAGAGAACATCTGGCATGTTGTAAGAACATGATATCTTCCTACCACTAATATAATACAAACAAGCCAGTGAACATTGAAAAGCAATCACAACTGAATTCCAAATAATAGAGTAATTGTTCACTGTTTGATGTGGTGTCAAAATGTCATTGAGTGTTGTGTATTATACTAATTAGGAGTATGTATGTCAACCAGTGAGCATTTGCATTGTGTGTTTTC